GATGAGCCCGAAAAGTGGTCCAGTGCCATTGTGAAATTGTGTGTTAACATCACTACGACCTCTGCAGCTGCTGCTCCTCTCCTCCCCAAAACTCCACCCCCAAACAGGACCCCCCTGCATCATTAAAATCTCTCTCATTGTCTTTTGACCCTCCCACCCCACCCTCCCTGCCTCGCTCTTGACCCCCTACACACCCACGCATGCACACATCTAGTGCTGTACAAAGGGGAGACCACGGCGTGGCTTCAGCTACATAAGCACAACTTTTGGCAGCACTACTGTACATTAAAACCCACTGTGTAGTTTTTTTTTTAAAGAGAGCCCTTATTCGTGTTTTTGTCGACACGTTGCCTCACGACTGACCCACTGACACAATTTCACAGCCGACTGAGTGGATGGGTTGGTGCGTTTGTTAGTTTTTCCTTCGTCCCATAATGGAGAAGAAAAGCAAAAAAATGATTAGTCCGAGGTTAAGACTGATGGGAGACAGAAGCTGGAGGTGAAGACGCAGAAAGCAGATGTGAAGAGAAGCAATGACTGAGCAAAAACCTTACAATCCCCCCCAACCCCGTTCAAAAAAGTCAGTGAAACGAAAACCAAAAGAAAGAAAGAATCAGATGTTCATTGTTTTTTTTTTCTCCAAAGAATGGGATTTGTTCTTGGAAAAGCACACACACAACATGCTTTCACACAAGGGCAGTGTTGTGTGTCGGCCATTTTGGATCCGCTGTTACAATTCTGGACAAGCGAGTGGTTTTGGTGGAGCCAAAATGGAGGTGGGTTTTTTGCTGCCTGTCCGTCAACACGCTTGGCATCAAGTGTTGCATTGGCAGGCTGCTGATGGCGAGGTGAGGGGTCAGAGTGTGTAATGCAGGTTAGTGAAAGGAGGGAGGGGGGTGGGGGGGCAGGGGGGTCACATTACACCGCCAGTCTGACGCCATGCCGAGGTGAATAACGCATAGCAATAACTCAATCCAAGAGCGCTTTTTCGAGGCTGACTCTTCTCTAGCATTGTCTAACTATCTAGGCTACCGTGGCTAACTCTAGAGGTGACCTGAGAAAGTAAGGGCAACTGCCTTTGCGACCTGCCGGAAAACCTCTTCACTACACCGGCCTGATAACTGGACGCCCACGAACATACTCTGGGGAATAGAGACGCAAAATGGCCTAAGCAGGCGAGGTGAAGGCCAAGAGAGGCTAGCTTACTAGCAGGCATCCCATACGAAGGGGTCTGACCCATGCTGAATCTTTAGCAACTCAAAACCCACGAAGGCTCTGATTCAAACTGCTGTGGGTCTCTTTTGATTTTGTGGAACTGTGTATGTTTTAAGCACGCCCTAAAAGCCCCACTGGATGTGATATTGATTTCCGCATTCCAAGTCTAGCCTCTTGGCTATCTTCCTCACGCGTGGCCCAAGTCTGCAATTTCCACAACGCAAAAACTCTCCGCCCTGTTTCTATGCTAGGCGCATGGGGAGCTGGTGGGGAGCTCGACTTTTAGCGCGTAGTGTGGTTGCTGCTCACAACTACGTAAAGAGGGCTCAAGGGGCGGGGGTTAAACGGGAGCAGCTAGGGGCGAGAAAATCGGGGAGGTGATGAATGTGACTCTGATACAGAAGGCACTGTGGCTCTGTAGGGGGTTATTGGGGAAGCGTCCCCACTTGCCATAACCTCTCTTGATGGGAGGTAAGGGCAGAGTGGTTTTGGGTTTGCGCCCCTCGACTCCCGCCAAACAAAAAAAACAATTAACAAAAACAAAAAACCCCCCTATCCCAATCCTCACTATGCTATGCTCAACTAGTAGGCCTGGAGGCAACACATTTCGGGAGAGGAGAAAAGATGGTGAGGGAAAACGGATCATCTGGAAGAGGAGGGGGGAATACAGCGACAGAGGTACATGAAAGAAAGGGGTTGTGGGTGTGATGTCGAGTGACGTGTGCAAACGTGGTGTCGATCTTTACATTTTCACAGATCCATGTGTTCCTGTCTCATTATTCTGTTTTACGGTACCACAGCGTTGCAGTTTCTCCTCCGAAATAATACAATGAGGATGCTCATGAGGTCTGCATAGAGTCAAAACACGTGGACTGGGGTTTGTTTTCTGGCTTCTGCGACTGCGAAGAAAACAGTGCGAGTTTTCAAGAGTAGCTAGATCGTCAACCGTGTCATGAGCATGAACGGTATGCAAAATAAATAAATATCTGAAACTCTAATTATACTCTGTCTGTTATCTATAACTACAGCTACTGCATTATATCTAGATTTATATGTAGTTTATCATCTATATTTATCTATACTTTATCATCTTGTCCTAGAGTTATTGAATATTCAATAATTGTTGTCCCTCATAACAATAAGGATGAAGTTATTATTCCTAAGTGTTTCTGTCCTGTAATGCCTTTTGTGTCTTCATTATCGCTCTCTGGCAAGCTGAAAGAACAGATGTCAAAGCAAATGGACAGAAAAGTAAAAGATAGATGTGGAGAGAGGGGTAGGTGGATAGTGAAGTGGGTTTTGGCAGAGGAGGTTTCAGCTTTGCTACAACCTCATATGATTGGATTGGTGATTCGGTGACTGTTCTCTGGTTTTCCAGACCTGAGAGAAGGGGCTGGAGGGGAGGTCAGCATTGGCACAGACAGGCAGACAAAAGGACGGACCGACAAACGGACAGATATGGCGTCTCCCAAGCTACATCCACATTTCCTGACTAGGACTGGACTTCATCTGTATATCTTACAAAGATATAAGAGACAGGTATAAGTGGCGGTTCCACTCCAGGTCTAGAAACCAGGATGTGGCCCGGAGGCTGTCCTGTAGAGGGGGAAGGCAGGGCTGATAATGTGTGCTGATAATTGCCCCCTGGTGGCAAAAAAGAGAACAACACCACCTAATACTGACACCAACACTGTACCACCAATACTGTGCTGTCACTGCCGGCAACCAATCTCACTACAAAACTACAGAGCCCGACAGAGGGAAAAGATTGAGATTCGTAGTTTTTTGGCTGCAAGTGGAAGAATTCAACCATGGTAGAATTTTAACCTCAGTAAAACAGGGTTGTATGAAACCTCTGCAGTGTAAAAGGCAGACAGATTCTTCCACACTTAATGATCTGGTCTACTCCTGCCTCTGAGCATGAATTCTTGATCTTTGGGTTGGCTTGACAAGAGTACTGACCCCATAAATCATTGCAAGTCAGGTACTGAAGCTCCCCTGACCTCTACCTCCACCATTCTGAAGAAAGAGTGTATCTTAAGAGTTGCGTTACAACACGCAACGCTGCTAAGTGAATGTTCCCAAGCCGTCATTGCCCCGAAACGTTGCAGGAAGGCATCAGGAACCCGGTAAACGTCATTGAACGCGGGGGATAAAAACATAACGGATGTAAACAAGATGGACATAGCATACTTAAACTCCAAATAACATGACAACAAATCTACAGCAACAGTTCTATCAATCAATCAATCATCAGTATCATTATCATCATGTCATCGTCATTTTGCATTGACATTGATATCATTATTCATAAGACTATCATCATTAACAATAATAAATTAAATGTTGTAGAAGTCCGCTTCTCTCCACCCTTTCTCCCTCTAGTTTCTCTATCACAACAGGAAACTTTAATGTGATCCTGCAGTGTTTCCTGTCTTTTAACAGGTTGTAGAAACATCGTTTTTGAACCCTGTCGGCAGAAAACTGAGACGAACAAAACAGCCGACTGTCAAAACCTGTTCCGGGTAAAAAGTAAATGAAAATTACATTTGAGATGTAAGAGAGAGAGAGAGTCTGAAAGAAGAGAACTTCTTTTGTAAACCTAAATGCAAAGTTTCCTATAAAGCCCCCAGGTCCCACCCACACCAGTTAGATTTCCTCTCTAGTATGTATTTAATCAATCATGCAGGTTTCCATCAAATTTTGGACTCCGAAAAAGATCAAAGGAGGCTGAGCGAATGCAACAGAAGAACCAAGCTCCAATGTCCGAAGAAGAACAAGAAGGAGAAGTAATTGATAGAAGAAATACTGAAGAAATTAGTCTTTTTCCCCATCCCTCCTTTCCTCTCCTCCGCCCCATTCAACCGTGTGATGTCATTTCCTGTCAGGTCGTCCTTCGCCTTGCGCCAGGTTAAGCAACTGAGGAGGGAGGGGCTTGACGAAGTGTCCGGCTCCCTTCTCAAGTTACCTGAGCCCACCCCCGCATTACGCACTTGGACAGGAAGTGAGCCCACACCGTGCCCCGCCTCCCTCCACTAACACCACCGCCAGACAGGAAGTGATGTCACACCAGTTCCGTCAGCATTAAGTGAGTCTTTAACAGTAAACAGAGATGATAAAACTCATCAAATATCAGCCAGCACTGTGATTGGCTGGTTTTTGCAGTATAGGCGGAGCTTCCTGGTTCTGTCCCTTGGAAAGGAAAAAGGTTAAAGATAAAGTGGTTGTTCTCCCTTTTTTTCTTTTCATTGTTTGTCATGTAAAGTTTCATTTTGTTCTTCATTGTTCAAGTTTGATTTTCTGGAGGCATAGCTTGGCATGTAAGGGTTAGGGGGTCCTGGCTTTTTGTTAATTTATTTTTCTTTAAACATATCTGTTCGAGGAGCAGAGTCAAGCAGTGGACTCTGTGTTCCAGCTCATTTTCAGGCTTTTACATTAGCAGACTGGCCAGCGACAGATAGCACACATCTGACAAGACTAACCAATCACGCGACAGTCTGGGAGAAGTGCTTTTAGACCTTAGAGAACCGCGATCATCCCTGACCGTTTTACATGGTCCTCTGTCGCTTTTCTGTTCCCACACTTCTCTCTTCCTCCTGCAGCCTGGCCTTGCTGGTCAAGCATAGAATTCTGGGAAGTATAGTTGAGAGAGAGGCAGAGGTAAACTGTGCCCAGGTCTTGCCCTAGTTGTCTTGACTGTCTCTTTTTCAATTATCCATGTGCTGCTCTGTCACTGATTTTAGTCTTACACAAAATCTGTAAAAGGCTATTTGCAGCACCTTCACCCCGCTCCCCCCCACCCCACCCTTTCCTCTCATTTAGAGTCCGAGGGGTGAAGGTAGAGGGTTTGGAGGGCGTTCACAAGCCCTGCCCCCAACATTTTCACCACCTCTGCTTTATTAAAAGTCTACATATCCAATGCCAGAGCATTGGAGGCTGCTATTCTTCTTCTCCTCTCCTGCCCATATCCCTCGCTCCCTGCGGTTGCTAGCACCAGTCATCCTCATCCGTCTCACTATAAGGTTCATGCAGGCCCTTGCGGGGCCCTCTGCCATGGGGAGGGCGGTGGTGTGGGTGGGGGGGCGCCCCTGGTGGTCCCCGCCGATGTGGAGAAGGTGAGGATGAGCGGTAACCATTGGGCACCCTACGTGGATGAGGGTGAGGGGGCGGAGGGGGCCCGTGGCGGGCAGTCCTAGGTGAGCGTGGGTGTGGGTGAGGATTTCCCCCATGTGGGTGTGGGTTGCCGTGGGAGAGGCTTTGCTCGTAGGCAGGGGGCTCATGGTGTCGCTCATACTCGTAGTCGCGCTCGTAGAAAGGCCCGTCACCCTCCAGGCTGTCCCCAGGCGGAGGCCCGCTCCAGCGGCCTCGATGA